CAATCGCATAACGCATATACATTCTTGATTAGCATTACCAACCAAGTTTATTAAAGGTAAACCAGGCTGCCAATTTAAGGCTATATAAATTAAAATATATTCCTTTCATTCAGGCTAATACCTTTGCTTAGATAGAAATAATAAAAAAATGCTTAAAGCAATATATTTTCATCTAAAATATGGCATATATGATATATTCTCGACTCAACTCTATAAACTAGAAGAGCATGGTAAAATTTTGAATATTTCGAAAGTTGTAGCATGCTAGCGCCATATGAGCAATCAACAGTTTTAAACGATGAGGGATTTTTTTTAAACCGTGTTATATTGATTAATGTGAAAAAATGTCAGATTAAGCATAAAAACAACATACTGAAAAAGTGAAGTAAAATGTTTTGTGAAAAACTTGAACCCCGAAACATTTCAGGAGACTTCCGTTGCAAATGTTGAAACTTCTTAAAACAACAAGTACAAAAAGAGATAAGAACAATTAGTACCACAATTAGTAGGAAGTATATCCCCTCCTAGAAGAATATTAGAAACTAAACTAAGTCTCTTTTAATTATAAGTTCATCCCATGCAATATAGAATATTAGTTTTCTATAACTCCCAAGTTAATAATTAAATTTTAATTCAACTACCAGAGTACGTTCTGTTGAATTCAAAATCAAGACTTCATTTGAGTAAGCTCTTGATCTGGGCATAAAAAAAGTAACTTCGTTAAACCTAAAACCGTGTCCCATACTCCCGGAATGCGAATTATGACGTATATGAACAGGAAATGACCAAGTCAAACGGCGAATTGCATTTGCTGCTGATATTAAGGTTTAGCTTCCCCACAACTGCATTTATGTAAGCTCAGTTGTTGGTGACATTGAAATAAAGTTTGCTTCAGAAAATATTTTAAAATATGGCTGAGCAGTGTGGAGCCAGAGAGTGGTGGAGGTGTGTGGAGAAGCCATGGTACACACTTGTGCCCTGGCATTGGAATTTATGCGATACAAACCCGTGCAGCATAGTGTACTATATATACAACTGATTAGTCGGGAAAGCTTTCCAATTCAATGCGCTACAGCTCAAACTAATCTCGTGCACGATACCACATTGTACCGGCTGCTTCTGAAGTTGGATGAATTGAACAACTTAATTACACGCAATTTGTTTAAATTAAGTTTGCTGGACCGTGAGATACTGTGTACATTTAGACAAGGGATAAATCCAATATCCATAGGACTTAAGGTGGACATTTTTCATGGCTCTCAGTTCCGATGACTTTAATTGAGTAAAAAAAAGGAATGCGGCGAAATTAAGAAGGAGCATTGAAAATTGATTTGTTTTAATAACTTTTTTTATATAGTTGTGCGTTTTTTTTTTAAATCTATATAAAAATTCAAGGACCACAAAAAGTTATAAACAATTGTGTGTTTGTTTGTTCTTAGTCTATGAAATCTATTTCTTTATGGACAGTCAGGCTATGACTAAATTGACACAGTTAAACTATGAAGCTGAGCTTAGCCTAAGCTAGCGAATGTGAAAACTTGATTATAATGTTCTAATTCGTACGACACAGACAGAAGTCATATTATCGAAGATTGACATTTACATTTACATTACTTACAAAAATTATATTTTAATTTAAAATGTATAATTGTAATTGTTCTTTCTAGACAATTGTTTAAGGTATATTTTTTTTTGGAAATTTTGCAGGTTGTTTTTGAATCTGATATGAATATAAGTAATGTATATAGAAATAATTTGCTTGTTCATTTTGTATTCGCTCTAGTAATATTCATGGTACTCTCAGCATAAAAGTAAACAAATTAGCCAAAATTAACTAAGAATGGAATTGGAGTTGCAAGGATCCCCTTCGATCAAGGTGCTGGTGATTGATGATAGTGCTGAAGGAGAAACAAATAATGTGACTTGTTTACATTATTACATCAAATCGTATGTGCAGCATACACATTATCTATTTTGAGTACACGTATTCCATAGGATAAACATAGCAAATGCCATCTCATCTGACCCGAATTATATACATATTACTTACTGCAAAAGAATAAAGGAAAATGAATAGGCGAAGATCGACCTTAAGTTGAAATAACAGCTCTGAGGCTATCATCAGATTTTAATGAAATATTCATATTATTTCCCCACAAGTATATATGTTTTGTATCTGTACATTTTAGGAATCCGATCCGGGTTAACAAAATAAAGATTGCTTTGTTGTAGCACGTGTAAATTATATGCTAGCTTATTCCATGTCTGAGTTATGGGAAATTTGACAATTTATTATTAAATTTATTTTGAATGAAACTTAAAAAAGAGATGATTGTCAGTTGAAGACTTAAACGTGTTTACTGCAACACGTTCTTTCAATTCACCCGGCACATTAGAGCAAACTACGACCATCACCGTTATCAAATGCTTTGCACATTTTATCAGTCCATTCCTCAAATTCCCACTCACTCGTACACCCAGTCCGCTCACACTGACGCACGCTTGACTCACCTGTGTGTCATTCAGAATCTCCAGGTGCTCTCCCTTGCGGAAGCTCAGGTCCTCGTCGGTGCGGGCGTCGTAGTCGTAGAGGGCGACAAATATTTTGGCGTTGGCGCTGGCCGTGTCGCTCTCCGGGATCTGCGGCACGGGGCGGATCTGCTCTGGTGGCTGGCCGGCATGCGGTGGCATGGGGATCTGCGGCACGCCCACGCCCACGCCTATGGTAGTCGGCTCATCTAACTTTGTGCGGTCCGCGGGATCCTTGCCGGGCTCGCCTTTCTGTGTAGTCAGGCAGTTGCCCATAGTTGCTCGACGGAGGTCAAGTCGGAGTAGCTACTGTAGTTGGCGCAGCGGCTGCCGCTGTGTGCGAGCTTAGTTCGTGGTAAATGCAATGAATGGACGCAAACTTGCAGCGGTGGCGATTACGTTTACGGTTACTTTCACTGCGCCCGTGCACCGCACTTGGTTTGTTTATAGTTTATATTTTCGCTGCGAGATCAACGCTGGGTGTTGGCACTTCTCGTCGCTCTCTCTTTTTCTCTTCTCTCTCGATCTTCTATCTCCCCGCTCCGCTTCTCTTTGTCCACCGTGCAATGTTGTGACTGGACTCCCTCCCTTCCAATTTGTGCAATTGCTGTCCGATTATCACTCAACTCTGTGCTTCACTGTGCGCCTTAACTAAATTATATGCAGGCGTGTGTGTGTGCGTGCGTGATTTTTTTTTTACTTTTATCTACATTCACCCGTTTAGGTGGATGTTACTGTGTGGGTGTGTGTGATGCTGTAGCTGTTGGCCACCAATTCAGTATGCACGGTGAAGTGGAGGGAGGCCGCGAAAACGGATCGAAATCGGTGATTAATAGGAGGAACACGCGCGTGCACTATTATTTAGCTAGGTTGGCATTCGCGTTTACATTTTTAACTCAGTTATTGGCCTCTTTTTTATCGCGTTGCAAAGAGCGTATAGCTATGGGTGACAGTTCCTACACATCGATATATTTGCTACGCGACGTGATATCGATATTTTGTTCAAAAATATCGATATATTTTCTAACAAATTATCGATACATGTTCATAAATAATTTTGTTAATTGAAAAATATTGGGCGCAGTAATAATAATAGGATAATATAATACAATATAATGTACACTATGTCGAATTTTCTAACGTTCGCACGAAGGTGTTTCCATTAAAGCCTGTTACTAACATAAGATAAAACAGCTTGAAAAATTTGGGCAGCGAAATGGCTCAGTCCGTATGCAGTGTGAACAAAGAAATGGAAGAAAAGCTGCACAAATGATCACACTGATAACTGAAGCCAGTTGTTTTCTGTAAACAAACTTTATAAAATGAAATTCAAAGAAATTCGAATGGAATGGACTTTCTTCTTCTTCCTTTTTTCCTTGTTCTTATTTATCCGTAGTTTTATTTATTACTAGCTGTTAAGTCATTCCTCTTGGCTAATAGCGTATTTCGTTTGAGATTTATCTGCTTTCCGCCATCCGTTGAACGGATGGTGCATAGGATTTTATTGTTCAAAACTGTCTCATTTCGTTTTCCATCCGTTATCCATCCGAATTTGATGGACTTGTTCAGCCGATACTAAGGCGACAGTTCTTTGGTGCAACTCTGAATTCTTCTTCTTGTCAGATGAAATTTGACCATTCATCTCGGCATTGCAAACGAAGATGACAAGGAATAATTTAAATATTTAAAAAGCGTCAAAGTTTAAAGTATGACAGAGGAGCTCATCGGTGTTTCCTTGAATATTTTAGGCCCTTGGTTGTTTTAAATTGCTTCTATTTTTATGAAAGTCCTATTTCTACTTTAATGCATATATTTTTATATGGAATATCAGGGTCACCGGCTATTGTTGGTTTGTTTTGTTACAATGGAGCGCATCGAGTCGCAACGATATCTCCACGTCTTCCTCCTCCTTTCATATTTCCTCCTTCTATATTTTTATAATTTTGTATATTTCGATCTATTCTCAATTCCATTGGAAATGACGAATATTCATCTTGGGCGCACTTAAGCCTGGAAGTCAGATAAAATAAATCCGCTTGAAGAATGTTAGTAGCGAATCGGCTAAATATTTCGTTCGGTAATCATTGGGACCAAATAAATTGAAAATAGGCGCAAAAATTATCACACGCGACAACACTAAATTTTTTGCTCGACACATTTATCTTATGTTAGTTCCAGCCCGAGCGAAAGCTACGAAAACGTTTTCTTTTCCTTTTCACTACCTGTTTTTAAAATGGAATTTTTCCGATTGAAGAATAATTATCTTTACCAAGCTTTAAATGAAAGGCCATGGGTGCTGTCAAGCTTCTAATAAATCGTTTAATTAATGAATCAGTATCATTACCGCAAAATCCAAATTGCAATATACAACCCTAGTATGAACGGTGCATTTTAAATTTAAATTCACATAAAAATATCGATAAGCCCGGCTGTCTAGCCGATTTAGAAAAAACCGATATGATGTCTATTGATTGACCATAAGCGGGTTTTCATTTCGAGTGTCAGAATAATCAGTAACAGTTGCAAAATGGATATAAAATCTTTTTTGTATGAATTTTGTGCAAAGTCACGCCTTGAACCCAAGTTTGAAGTTCGTCAGACTGGTAAGTTACTTTGAACAACCCTCTTCTTCAGGCACCTCAAGATCTATTTTGTTGCATATCGAAGGGCCTAAGAATCGGCAACGCTTCCTCTGCGAGGTCCGTGTGGATCAGAATAACTACATAGGTGTGGGCAATTCCACCAACAAAAAGGATGCAGAGAAGAATGCTTGCCGCGACTTCGTTAACTATCTGGTGCGCGTGGGTAAGTTGAAGGCCCAGGACGTACCGGCCGGTTTAAGTGATTCAGAAGTGGGAGGCCCCAAAGGTATAGCGGGCGAGGGAACAGCAGGCCCGAGCGGCCAGCAAAAACGCGTGTTTGGCGGCCAGTCGGGTCCACAAGATCTGGGCGAGGCGTATCGTCCACTTAACCATGAAGGACGTGGTGACCGGTTTAACATCATCGACCATGTGCAGGAGCAAAAGGACATGAACGAGGCTGAGTCAATTGACGTAAACGCTGCTATTCACGGTAATTGGACAATTGAAAATGCCAAGGACCGCCTTAACATGTACAAGCAGTCGAATAACATTCGCGACGATTACAAATACACTCCTGTGGGTCCGGACCACGCTAGGTACGTGTTTATTATCTTTTTCCCCGCCTGCGTTCTGGATTTGGTTTAAACTTTTACTGACCAAGTCCAAAACGCAGTCGGCAAATTTTGGTACACTAGGCGCAAGCCGTGGGGGGCTTAGCCAGCAGAGCGAGGTGGTACGATACTGACCCACTGAATCAGCGCCCGGTTGCCCTGCATGGGGTCTGTGATTAAATCGGACGTCCATGCAGGGCGGTGTAGGCAGAAACTTTTCCAGCGCTAGTATGCCGGCTGCGCTTAGAACATTAGAACCATTTCGCTCTGGCGGCTGGCCTTGTTTCTCCACTTAGAACGATCCCAAAGGGTAAGTTCCTATACAAAGCTGGTAACCAAAATAATATATATTTTAATAACGTTATCAATCCAGGAGCTTTATGGCCGAGTTGTCTATTTACGTGCCAGCTCTAAAGCGCAAAGTGACGGCCCGTGAGACCGGATCCAACAAGAAATCTGCCAGCAAGTCATGCGCTTTGTCTCTGGTTCGCCAGCTGTTTCACCTTAACGTAATTGAGGCCTTCAGCGGCACTCTAAAAAAGAAAAAGGACCAGGAAATGAAGCCCTACCCGGTGAAGCTGTCACCAGACCTCGTGGAAGACTTAGATATGGTCATCAAGGAATTGGATCTACCCGTCGTAAATCCGCGTAATATCAAAGTAGAACAAGACGGTGCTCCTATTTCTTTGATAGTAAGTAAACATGTTCCTAGCATCATTTTGAATAATTTAGCCATAGCCATGACCCTTTTAATTTCATCCGCAATCCGTTGGGTACCGGGTATATCTTGTTCTTTTTAGATAGGGCAAATTAGCACCACTAAATTTTAATTTTCTGTCAACCAAAACCATGTACCGGTATGGGACAAAAGATTTCCGAGGCTATACAAGCTAGCTAACTAGCTTATTTAATCAAGCATGTAAAATGTGTTTTAAAATTTGGAGTTTGAACATATACATAGGTTCTAAAACTTTGCAGAAGCTATTACATTTTTAAATCGCCATTTTGATAAGACATCAGTGACGATTCTGTTGTATATAAGTAAAGGTTTGATATTTCAAATCACCTAAGATGCAATTAAATTGTTTTGAAGGTTTGGATGGTTATTTTTATCTTAATTGATTCTTATGCATTCCTCAGGTGACTGGAAACCGCGTGGACCCTATGCAACCTGCTAGCGAAAAACGGCAGGAAAGCACAGTGATTCCATGGGCCCCGCCTCAGCCAAATTGGAATGCCTGGCATGCCTGCAACATCGATGAAGGTGAATTGGCTACCACATCCATCGAAGATATTTCACTAGATCTTGAACGCTCATTGCGCGAACGCCGTCAGAACGACGCGGAATATTGCCAGTTCCTAGAGTTTCGTGACAAGTTGCCAATCGCGGCCATGCGCTCCGAAATTCTGAGCGCCATCAATGATAACCCGGTGGTAATTATCCGCGGCAACACCGGCTGCGGAAAGACCACACAGATCGCACAATACATTCTCGACGACTACATTTCATCCGGTCAGGGAGGCTTCGCCAACATATATGTGACCCAGCCACGCCGCATCTCGGCGATATCAGTAGCAGAGCGTGTCGCCCGTGAACGTTGCGAAAACCTGGGTGAGGCCGTTGGCTACTCCGTTCGATTTGAGTCTCAGTTCCCTCGGCCCTACGGTAGTATTCTCTTCTGCACCGTTGGAGTGCTTTTACGCAAGCTTGAGGCCGGCTTGCGAGGCGTCTCGCATATCATCGTTGATGAGATCCACGAGCGGGATGTGAACAGCGATTTCCTGCTGGTAATTCTTCGCGATATGGTGGCCACATATCCAGATCTGCACGGTAAGATTAAATATGCAAACGTGATTAATAACTTTTAATAGAAAATGTCCCATAATCAAAATTGTTTATTGCTCTTAACATTGTCATTTACATATGTATGTGTTTTATCTTTTCAGTTATTCTTATGTCGGCCACAATCGACACCACTTTATTTGCCAATTACTTTGGCGGCTGTCCAGTACTTGAGGTTCCCGGCCGGGCCTTTCCTGTTCAGCAATTCTTTTTGGAAGACATATTGCAGATGACTAACTTCGTGCCCTCGGTAGAGTCCCGTCGCAAGAGAAAGGAAGCTGAGGACGAGGAACAGATGCAGCTGTCGGAGAATAAGGAAGAGGAAGAAATAAATTACAATAAGATTTGCGATGATGACCGGTACACGGTACAGACTCGGAACGCCATGGCCATGCTATCTGAGTCTGACGTAAGTTTCGAGCTGTTAGAGGCCCTTCTGTTGCTCATCAAATCAAAGCAAATCACTGGCGCCATCCTGGTCTTTCTTCCCGGCTGGAATTTGATCTTCGCTCTTATGAAGTTTCTGCAGAGCTCAAATACATTTGGAAATTCGTCGCAGTACCGTATTCTGCCGTGCCACTCGCAGATTCCGCGTGAGGACCAGCGCAAGGTTTTCGAGCCGGTACCGGATGGTGTGACAAAGATAATTCTGTCCACCAACATAGCTGAGACTTCGATCACCATCGACGACATCGTATTCGTTGTGGATATTTGCAAGGCTCGCATGAAGCTCTTCACTTCGCACAATAATCTCACCAGCTACGCCACTGTGTGGGCTAGCAAGACTAACCTGGAGCAGCGCAAAGGTCGCGCCGGCCGCGTCCGTCCTGGCTTCTGCTTCACACTCTGTTCTCGCGCCCGTTTCGCTGTGCTCGAGGATAACCTTACGCCGGAGATGTTCCGCACGCCGCTGCACGAGATGGCTCTCACCATCAAGTTGCTCCGCCTTGGTGCCATTCACCATTTTTTGTCGAAGGCTCTGGAACCCCCGCCAGTGGACGCTGTCATCGAGGCCGAGGTACTTCTGCGTGAGATGCGCTGCCTAGACGCCCACGATGAATTAACACCTCTAGGTCGACTGCTGGCACGCCTGCCCATCGAGCCTCGGTTGGGCAAGATGATGGTACTGGGTGCCGTGTTCGGATGCGCCGACCTAGTGGCCAGCATGGCCTCCTACTCCAGCACCTTTTCTGAGGTGTTTGCCCTGGACATTGGCCAGCGTCGACTTGCAAATCATCAGAAGGCACTGAGTGGTCGCAAGTGCTCCGACCACGTGGCCATGATTGTAGCGACACAAATGTGGCAGCAAGCCAAGGATCGTGGCGAACAGGCAGAATCACGCTTCTGCGACTGGAAGGGCCTGCAGATGTCCACTATGAACGTGATGTGGGATGCCAAAAAACAGCTGTTGGATCTTTTACTTCAAGCCGGGTTCCCTGAGGAGTGCATGGTGTCTTGCCGCGTCAATGCTGATTCTGATGAAGCCGACCCAATGCTGGACGTGTCACTTGCATTGCTTTGTCTCGGCCTCTATCCCAACATCTGTGTGCATAAGGAGAAGCGCAAGGTTTTAACCACCGAGTCCAAGGCGGCGCTGTTGCACAAGACCTCCGTTAACTGCAGCAACTTGGCCATCACCTTTCCTTATCCGTTCTTCGTCTTTGGCGAGAAAATCCGCACACGCGCAGTGTCCTGCAAGCAGCTTTCAATGGTTTCTCCCCTCCAGGTCATGCTATTCGGTTCGCGGAAGATCGACCTGGCCACCGACAACATCGTTCGTGTGGACAACTGGGTCAACTTTGAAATGGAGCCGGAACATGCGGCCAAGATCGCAGCTCTGAAGCCTGCATTGGAGGATCTCATCACAATTGCTTGCTACAATCCCTCCGAAATTCTTAACTTGGAGGGCCCCTACTCTAATTTAGTCGGTGTGGTTAGGAAAATCTGCGACAAAAGGGCCGGCGACTTTGAACTGACTCGCGAAACAGGAATCTTGCCTCACCAGGCACGACAGACCGCTCCCGGCGGTGGAGGTGGCGGTCCGGCCAAAAGAGGCCGCTTCGATTATGGCGGCGGAGCCGGTGGTGGACACTTCAGGAACAGAGGTGGCTATGGAAATCCAGCAAACAGTAGCTATGGCGATGGCGGGCGTGGCAACTACGGGAGTGGAGGTTTTGGTGGTAGTTTTGGAAATAGTGGAGGTAGATTTGGAAATAACCAAGGAGGTTTTGGAAATAATGGAGGAGCTGGATTTAATTGGAATGGAGGCGATGGAGGCTATACTAATTATGGAAGTTCTGGAGGAAATAACTTCACAGGAGGCGCTAACCAGAACAACAGCTGGGGACGCTATTAAGGACTATAATATTTTCATATTTCTATTAAAACAAACTTACACATTTATAATATTTAAATTATAAACCCTCAATAAACACAATAAAACCAAACGTTCTATCTTTATGGGAGGCAGGAAGCAGTAATCTGTGTTCCAAAAGCTGTTCTAAATCGAGGATAGCGTTTGTTCGAGCCGGCACGTTAGCGTACACAAGCATAATATATTATTGTAAGATTTGACACAGGCTTATCGTAACATTTTAATACGTTATACAATATGTATGTCCCGCCACCGCGGAATATTTCAAAATGCAGCTGTTATATTCAGGCTAGTGATGGCACTTAGACAAACTCATACATACATATGTGTTACTCTTAATGTGATTATGATAGGCCGAATTCATGCATTCAATGCTCAAGTTAATCTAGAAACCAAGAAAAAATAGTATTAAAGAAAATATAAAATATAATATAAATATATAAAAATTAGTTCAGTTGATTTCTTAGACAATTGAATGACAATTAGTTTAGTTCACTGAATGACTGAAAATCACGTATAAGCTGTTTTTTTTTGACATTCAATCATTTAATCTTGTGCATAAAAGTGTATCATTATCTGTGTGATGATGCCTAAACGAGGAAGAATCCAAATAATTTTAGCAATTCTGGTAAGAACATTTTGTATGCGAAATTTGTTAATATAGGTTTAGTTATAAATGCCTTAGTGCTTTTATATTAATAAGTAGGGCAAATACATGCATAAGTTTTTTTTTCGGGCCGACGATTTCTTTTCACAACCTACGGAAAAATGGCTAAAAAAAAAATTAATTTAAAGATGAAAATAACAAAGGGCATATATAAATATTTAAAAAAAGCATAAGCCAGTTTCGAAAAGCTTGGTTGACTTTAAAAAGCTTCAACCAGCACCGTGTAATTAGTTGAGCTGCCAACCCTGGGTTAATTTTTTAGCTACAAATATCTGCGAGCGTCAAATGTCATAATCGATATATCGGTAGCACAAGTGTTATCCCTAGCATTTTAGCGGCGCGTAGTTTTGTTTGTTAAGGTTATATGGTTTGTAATTCAACGGAATATCGTCGTTCCTTTACAACAAGGTGACTCTAAAATGGACTTCGACACCGCTAAGGAAAACATACAACCGTTAGCTAGCGGTCGCAACGTTAGCCTGCTGCAGGCCTCACTTAGCCTGGACTCCGCGCAGGGCCAGGAGCTACTTGCGCAGCGCAGCAAGTTAAAGAAGGAAGTGGAGAATTATGCTGGCGAGGATCCCCTGGAGCCATGGCACGCATACATCTGCTGGATCGAACAGAGCTATCCGGCTGGTGGCAGCGAATCTAAATTGCAGGCGGTTTTGAAAGACTGCCTTACAAAATTCGAGAAGGACGTTCGTTACCAGCAGGACAGGCGCTTCATCAAGCTGTTTATTAAGTTTGTAAGTAGAGGTAGTAGAATTGTGGGTTAACCTAACCACTCCCGCTTCCAGGCGCAGGAGCAGAAGAACCCGATTGAGTTGTACCAGGAAATGTATAGTCGCGGAACTGGCACGATGCTGGCGGATTTCTACATCGCCTGGGCGTATTGTTGCGACTTGAGCGGCAACATGCACAAGGCCGATGAGATCTTTCGCCTGGGTCTCCAGTGCCGGGCCCAGCCGCTCGAGGAGCTACGGGAGGCGCACCAGCACTTCGGGTATACGGTGGGCCAGCGCATGCTGTACACCGACGGCGAGCAAGCGGATGCAGTCAACCAGGAGCTAAACGAGCGTAGGCTGGCCTTGCAGTCATTGCAGGGACGCCGCCAAAGGGGCTCAAACACAATTACGGTAGGGAGCGTGCGTACCGGAGCTGCAGTAAAGAGCGAATTTCCGGGTGTGGTGCAGGTAAGAAAATGTGAAAGTAAAACTAAAAAAAAACTGATCGCAATAAAAGTGATGAAGAGGCCTAAGAGTAGAAATTATGTAGATATATTAAGAAAGTTATAAAAATATTTTATATTTAAATTAATTATCATTAGAACTTACAAATAACGCAATAATGCTTTCCTTCTCAAACCTACTTTCGAGCATATCCGCAGAAGAGCGCTCCCTCTAAGAAGAACGGTTCGATTCTCTTAATTTATTGAGAGCAATTCTTCTGCGTGACAATTTGGCTTCTTTTCCGATTTATGCAAATAGTTAATGCTAACTATGAATCTTTCAGATGGGTGGCCCAAGCACCAGCCGCAGACAAAATGCTGATCGTAACGTGGAGGTTTTCAAGGATGAAAACGGCGCAATGCTGGCTGTGCCTACGCAAGAGGGGAAGACAAGCCATACTTCAATCGTCGAAGCAGCTCGCGGGATAGAGAACCTCAAGGAGTCAATGCCTTGGAACAAGGCTCACGCTAAGACACACAAGCACGGCAAAATCTTCTCCGGCGACTCCTCACCTGACCTGGGCTTCGATATACATGTCGATGAGTATGCGTTTCCACCCATCACCAACTATGAACGACACTTTGAAAAGCCCTTTCGTACTCCTCCCAACTTTGTGGCCAAGAACAAGCCATTGGAGACATGGGTAACGCCAGTAACAATTGAGCAGGAGCCAGAAGCAAATGCACTTCCGTGTTATAATAAAGCAATGCTATACCCGCGACCCAATCTAGAATTTTCTCCCGAGGAGTACCGAGCCTACATTAATTTAAAACGACGTGAGCCACAGCATCCGTCGGTCATTCGTAACGATCCGTGGTGGGGCACTGGCGGCGAGCTCAGAGGAATACGCTGCTATCCAAACTTTGCCACCGCTTCCAAACCGCAACCGACAGACGAGCTGGTCAAGTATTTTAAACCACCAAGTATGCCTGAAATTCAAGTCGATTTTGACCAGCTTTACAACGACGAAGAGCAAACAGAATACCAACAAGAGGAGTTGTTGGCAGCCAAGTGGCGGCAGAAACGTAATCTTACAGTTATTGGCGACTTTGATATGGATGAGACCGCATGTCTGCCCGGTAATGAAATGCCTCGCCGCAAAAGTTTCTTTCCATTTTCCTCCAGAAAGTCAATCATGCCGCGTAGAGAAGATCGCGTGGAGGTTACGGAACAAGTAGCTTCAGGAGACGATACTCCAGCAACGTCTTCTGCTGTTTTACGTCAATCCACTGTTTTATCTCAACCGCTTGTTATGAACGAGCAGCCTAAGGTGCCGCCAACGTTAAAAATATTTCAGGATCCCGTTTCAACTGCAGAAGTCAACTTTGCTATGCCAGAACCGCCTCTACGTAGCATAGAGATTTATCAAGACCCGGATGAGCCAGAATCTGCCCCTATAACTAAAGCCTCGGTCGTCGCACCCGCTTTCGACGGAGATGAAACTTGCTCTACGCAAGTGTTTAACATGTTCATTAAGTCTCATGGCATAAGTACGCCGAAGGGTCCTCAAAAACAAGCACCGGCCCGACAGTTTGGCACTGTGTTAAAAGAACTGTCGCCGACGGACGAGCCTAGTCCTTCTCCAAGCTCTACCGAGTCCCCAGTCGATTCCCGTTCACCGATGTTGCGCAAACAGTTGTCCACCATTTTGGAGACCTCAGAGCACGGAACCCAAAGTTCGGCGGCCACTAACGCTACTACTAAGTCGACCATAACTTCAACTTCTTCTTCACCCGGGTCTCGCACTGCACTTACTCTGACCACCAAGAGTGAAGAGTGCACTCCTGGACCACTGAGGCAGCAGCACCTGCCTGGCCTTGACAATTCCATAGTCAGCGTGGAGCAAGAAAAAAAGGCTGGTGGCAATTTTTCCCGTCGCGAGCTTTGGGAGCCCAATGCTCCCAGCGTGCCGATGATGAAATCTTTACGCTTCCAGGAGGATAAGACGGAGACAATTCCTAGAGCTCTGCCCTGTTTTCAGGAAGACAAAACAGAAACGTTGCCACGATTACCTGTCGGCTTACCTGAGTGTGCACTAGCTGCCGCAGAACTGACTCCACTAAAGCTTCCAACGCTCGATGATGATGATGACCTTTGCGGCCTCTTTGCAAAGACGCCGCCAAAGATGAAGACGTTTGGCTCTTCCATTTTACAGGACGCCTCGAGGCGTGTTTGCGACCAAAACACTTCCGATATTTTTATGAATCCAATAAAAGGCACTCAGGACTCGATTGCTGCCTCATTTGTTGAGGCCATTGGTAAACCTTCCGCCCTACCGGATAGCGGCCAGCTGGCGGATTCTTTCATGAACGATTTGTCGTTTGTGCCCGAAACACAACCCGTGAATGAACCCAACTTCGGGGCTCCGGCTATGAAAAAGTTCGAGATCTTCCTAGACGAGACACAGCCAGAGATGATAAAGGCAAAACCATCTATGGGCTGCAGTATTACCTTGGACTCCACGGTGCCCGAAACGCAGCTGTCAGTTGTGCAAAAGGATGCAGTTAAGAAGCCGCAAACTGTAGGACCCTCTCACATGATCGCTTCGTTCATGAATGATTGCACTGAGCTAAGTAGCTGTCCGCCACAACTACCAAGTTCTTCAGGAGCAGTGAAGTTTATAAACGATTCTTCCAATTCAAGCAGATCGAAAAATAGCGGAAAGCAGTCGGATAACTTCTTCGAACTAAATGCTGCCACGGAAATGTTTGCCACCAACATAAGTATGATTAAGAATTCTACGCTGCTTCCTCCGCCTGTAATTGAAAATCCCCATTTTGAAAATGCTCAGGAACAAGCAGAAGAAAATGCTGACGGAGACCTAAGCATTTATTATAAATCTACACCGATAACACCTAAGCAATCGCACCGTTCGTGGTCGCATTCTGATAATGATACACTTCCGCGAGATCAGTTTGTACACCCCAAATCAAACATGGACAAGACAGAGCTGAACCAAACGGTCGCTGATACTAATGTTAACCCTTTCAACGTAGACCTTATTAGTTCGCTGCTGGACGAAATTGACTTCTCGCAGTACATTGAAAAGTTACCGCACTGCCAATTGGTGGGCCATGTTAAGCGTCTGCGACCTAATTCCCAAATAGAGGTGAATGGCGAAGAGTTTGATGTGGTAAAGATGCTTGATAAGGGGTCGTATGGCACTATTTACACGGGACAACACGTGAAAACCGGAAAGAAGGTGGCTTTAAAGCAGGAACGGCCAGCCAACTACTGGGAGTTCTACATTACCCTGGAGGTTCACAGTCGACTAACCAGCGACCAAATGGTAAGATTCATAATTAAAAAGTCATAATGCCAACTCAATATTTAATTTTAATGTATTAGAATATTTACAAGGAGGTGTAGCAACTACGACTCCAAAATGAAAAATAATAAGATGATAATCATTTTATGTATCTTTCAGATTCCCGCATATACACATTTTGATTATGCATTGGTGGGCAACAATTGCAGTGTCTATATCTCTGACTTCTCGGATTATGGTTCGTTGATCTCAGTGTGCAACAAAATAAAGAGTGGAACAAGCAAGAATCTGGACGAGTACGTTGTCATGCATCTAAGTTGCCAGATGCTCGATATCGTGGATCATCTTCACGCCTTGGGGATAATCCATGCCGACATTAAGGCGGACAACTTTCTACTTATGAGACCGTAAGAACCTGAATCTAGCTACTATTTCACCATAAGAACTATTCCTTGCGTCTCTTTCAGATTGTGCGCGCATCCCAATGAAGTTAGCCTGCAGCTTATTGACTTTGGCGTGTCTATCGACACCAGACGCTTTCTGCCCAATCAAACATTCAATTATGTGCACCACCACGAGCTGTTCAAGTGCATTGAGATGCGCACCAATCGGCCGTGGACGTACCAGCTAGATTTATTCGGCCTGGTGGGTGTCATGCATGTGCTGCTCTTTGGCACCTATATGGAAGTGGTGAAACGGAGTCCGAGTGGCGTTTGGATGCCGAAAACGGCCTTTCCGCGCTATGTCCAACGGCAGATGTGGGAGACTATCTTCAGGACGCTGCTTAATATTCGTGACTGTCGTACAATGCCAAATCTACAAGAATTGCGTATGCTGATTAAATCCGAGCTAGCTGAAAAGGAGAAATATGTTGCCGAGGCCATTAACAAATTTAATATGATACTGCAAAAATAAGAACAGAAATTGTATTGTATTTAATTATTTATAAAATATTATAGGACGCTATAAAAAGGCATGGTTAAATTAAGAATTTAAACTGTTGTTTATTAATCCTGCGACTGCATAAAAAGATGTTTTTTCTGTTTAGCTCCTAACTGTTCACAACATCATCCCATATGAAAAATGTAAAAAGTATAAGCTAAATGGAAAGTGCCCAAGATACTCAAGTAGAGTATTTTTGGTTTTTTAAATAAATACGAAACAACTTGAGTTCCTGTAGAATTAGTTAAAATGTGCTTTGCATAACGATTGGTCAAGTCCATTTTTTGTGCACTGACTTTCCAATGACACTTTAAAAAGAGCACCTAAAGGATTCTGATAATTGGACAGTATAACATTTTCTAGCACTAATGTACGAAAAGAAAAGAAACGTAACTAACATTACGAAGTTTGTTCACCCTTTGCATTTATACCATATGAAAATAATAATAAAAAAAGTATAAACCTGTATATGTAAAAAACCTATTTGCTAATAACAAACGAAGTATGTACAGTTTTGCATTTACCAGTTGTAAAAAGTAAGGTTCTTGTAGCCGACTCTGGAGAGTGAGCTTTTTGTAAACGACTAGTATAGGGTACCAAAGAATAGAAATTTCAATGGGCGATATTGGTAATAAAAGGGTAGCAGAGTAGAGTAGTAGTAGTAGTATCTTGGATCAGCAGTGGGTCGACTTTAGTAGGTCACGGTAGCATGCAGAGACTAGATACTTCGCCATTTAGAAACGCAGGGTATTAAAGAATCAATTGTAAACGTACGTAAAAAAGGTTTCAGAAACCATAAAGCTGACAGAAAATATTCGGAGCAAGTTATAGGACTTTTCAAAAAAAAAAAAGAAGGAAAACACGACTAGGACAGAGAAAAACGATTGACAGAATAAAGCAATCGATACGCCAGAAACTTATCACCCAATTAAGCATCAGGGATAAACTCGGATGGATGACGTGGACGTTTTAGAAGAGCACAACTGGATTCAAACACGAGAAGTCAAAACCATAATAGACTTCCTTAGAGTAGCGGAAAAGTTCGAAGCACTATAATCTAGACAATCACCACGAGCACAAGGGAATGGTAAGCAACCCTGCTGGAGCTCCAAGAACCGAGGACATCGGCACAAGAACACAGCTCACAATACTAATACAATAATCGATACGTGCTTCTAAAGGCATAATCAAAGACATAACCAACGGACGAAGTAATACACCTGCAGACAGAACTTCCACAGTAGCCCTAGAAGAATTACAGGTGGTAATAGAACTAGGAGAAAAGCAGACAACCATATCATTACTAATCCTGGACGACGTCGTCGGAGGCATGTTACTGGTCATTGACTTCCTGACTTATCGCAATGCAACATCCCGTTCTGGGGGACTTGTGAAAAAAGAGAGAGAAAAACGTCTAACACCTATGACTGATGAGATAACACGACAGCCCTCTAAAGCAAAAATATTTCCCTAAGAACCGACCATGCAGAATATTACACAATAAACTGTTCCACTCCTCATACAGTTTCCCCGTAATACTAGTCGGAACTAAAAATAACAAACTGCACACGGCAACTAAAGTGTGAAGGAGGTACCCAATAAAGTGGACCGGGAAATCAAGCAGAAACTAGTAATACGACCGCCACGAAAAACAGGGGCAACTTCAAACTGACGGTAAACGGGGTTCTGTATCATGTTAAGATTACTCGTGGAGGAGAAACAACACTAAAGGGTTTCCCATGGACCGATCATCAACGCTCCATCGGCATGAACGTATTCCAGGAATCGTGTCACACAGAAACTTCAGATTATACATAAACAGCTTTCTATCCATTTACTTGATACTTGGGAACATGAGGAGCCTAGAATTTTAAAGTTCTATTGGAATCCTGATCTCATTGCTCCACGTCAATGTTACTATTACGCATAAGGTCAAAAGGTGAAACTATTTTGCTAAACTCCTGACTGTGGCTTTTGTGGTGAGTGCCATTCCAAATAGTGTTTCTTTTCTACAACATTTTATGAAGCAGAGACGGTGTCGGTGTCCCTTAAGATTTATAAAAGAACCGAAAGAACCGCTTACATGCTGTTTATGTAATGTTGAACAATATTTGTTTAATAAGTAACAAATTTAAACCAAATAATTATTGCTTATAAGCGAAACAAATTATTTTCGACTCATTCAGGCGGTTTTGCGTTAATTTTACAATATGAATACCCGCCTGCGGCCGAGAACAGGCCGAGAGACGTCCATTTCTGTGGCAAATTCCAGCGCAATGCAATTTTCGGGTCAATGCATATATTTTCAGTTACATCGGCATGTTTTCCACGAGCTGAGGGCGTCATTTGCAATCTCCATTTGGCATTCTGCATTCAGGTTCGGCGTCCAGCAGCATTCGTCGTCTCCGCTTCCGGGGGCAATGGCGCTCGGCGTGTTCCTGCCTGGCACATTCGGTTGACATGTGCCCTGGGATGGGTGCAGCTACTGTTGTGCATATGCACAGCATATAAATCAAAGTCAAAAACGGCTCGACATGATTCACAAATGATCCAAACAAGCGACCGTTCTGCCGCCATATGAAAGTCTTATAAATCAAAGTGCTCGGCTCAGTCAGTTCTCGGCGGGACTCTGCTGGGCTTGCGGACGCGGCAATTGCATGCGGTTAACTTTACGACCACTGTTAGCTCCTGGCCTCCCCCGTCCCGCCCATAGTTGCTGCCATCTGTGGGTGCAATCCCTGCAGGTTATCCGTACGCAGTACTGGACTGTGGTTTTGGTACAGCCCCCGCTCGTCCGGTAAGTTTTGGTATTTAATAAGATTGCAATTTGAATATTCATGATTTTTGTACCCTTGCAAAGGGTTTTTAAGTTTATGTTGGGATCCAGGGTCGAGTTGATTCGGACATGTCCATCGTTATATCCTTTGCTACGCAAGTTGTTTTAAAAGTTCTCAAGAAATACATATGTATGTATAAACTTTCCAAAATGTCTGGTTCTCATTACAAGTAATAAACGATCGGGAAATAAAATGAGACTTGAAATCAATGTACACTACATATGTGTATTTGTAGCTTAACATATAATTCCATAAATTAAGAAGTAATACATATCTTAAATTTGATTAGTATGTGACTCACGGTCCTAATCCGCAAATCATCCAATTTCCCAGCCACAGAAAGAACATTGTAATATCTAGCTTTTTTACTGTAAATTATTATTTATTGCAAAAGTGTCTTTCTAATGATTCAAACTGGGAAAATAATGAATTAATTACTTTTTTTTATTATTTGGGTACAGTTGTTTTTATTTAGTGAATTTATTCTCTCAGCTGCAATTAGAACTGCAAGTAGGACTTGGGATGAATTTACTCCGAGGGCTATTAATCGATTTGTGCACTTTGATATTTAATATTTGGTCCACTGTGGCAGGGCCTTGGTGCCTTACCCATGCCGCACATGGTATAGCTTGATTTATGCAAATTGAAAATGACCTTAGATCCTGCCACACACACGGACACATTGTCCATTTACCATGTTTTGTATATGGTTGAATTTTTCGCCCTTGTTGACTTGATTGTGGCAGCTGCTCGACGCTTAGCCGATGCAGCTCCTGCCCGCTTCCTCAGGAGTGCCCTGCCGAACTATCCACTATCCACCAGCCACCAGCCACTATCCGCATCCTTATCCTCATTCACTTGCCCTCGTGTAGTTGGGGATGCTTTTGCTTTTGCTGTTGGTCTTGTTGCTGGCGCCGTACATTTTGCATCATAAAGTATTTTAGCGCCATTATTTCATGAAATTCACATTTATTTTGCAGCTGTTTGCAGCAAAAAGCTGTCTGCCCTGTCCCTCAACTTTTCCGCCCATGCAGCTCGGTCGGAGCCTTGCACTACTGGTACATTTTTCTATTGTAATATAAGTTATGTGTGCACACTCCACCCCACTTATCGTTAACGGATTCGGACAAAGTGAAAAAGCGACCATCATAGGGCAACGAGAAACTTTGTTAAGAAAAGCATTCATACAAATTACGTTTTGGTTCTACTAAAAAGAAGATAAAGGGTTGTTTAATAAATCATTACATGTGGAAAATATGCAAATAGTACTTAGTGTAGGGGGTCCACAGCTAGAAGTTAAAGAAGTGTATGAATAATAATACTCCCTCAAATTGTTATTATCGTGTATTATATTTTCTGGTGAGTTCAGAATAAATGTTATAGGTAGAATAAGAAATCTTCGACCCTAAAAAGTAAATGTATGTACTTGATCAGCATCACCACGTCCTGGTCTGTCCGAATGAAACAACAGATCTCGCAGAATATAACAATTCTCTATCCCAATAATTGACCACGCCAGCTTTGAGGTTCTGCAGGTGTTCAGCTCCTTCGATTACTATGAAGGTATGTTGCCAATTTTCTACATTGGTGCTTTGCTAAATATTTTTTATCTCGAATTCTTCCATGAGGATCTTAGCAGTGATGGTGCGGGGGTCCTGGTGGTTTTCTTCCACTTATACGGCCACCATCCAGTCCCTTCGTGTGGTCTCCGAGGCTTTTAGCCGGATTGTCGTTAATACTGAAAGAGGGAAACAGAAATATAGGAAGTCCAAAAGATAGGGAATCCTAAATGCAATTACTTATATTATCATTGTGGGAGCGATTCGCTTGTAACCATGATTCCCTTGTCTGGAAAGGAAGAAGATCCGAATAGTAGTTTTATTCCACCCTTCTGAGACTCCACAGTTTAATACTAAACAATTTATTGAACAAATAATTGCGTTATTTCTGAGGTAGGGCTTCCTATCGTTCAGCTTACACTTTCATTCAGTAATATTATTATATTTTTAATTTATTAATAATTGCACTAATGTCGCATGTTTACGAAATGCATAATAATCACATTGTATTGAGCCAATTAGATTTACTGCTGCTGTGATTTGACTACAGATAACAATTATATGTATAAATGTAATATTTTTAATTTTTAATTTCATAAAAATTATAGTGTTGTATAATAAATCAATGGTAAAAATTACAATTAATGTTAGCTAAATGGAAAAGCAGTGTCAGGCAGCATCTACACAGCATTCATTTTAAGTTCTTTGGAGATTTTATCTTATAATTCATGTTTAATTTTCAGATTTAATATAATTTTCAGTAAACTGCACTTTTTTCATATAAAATTATTTAAGCCGAACTATCTTATTTCTAGAATGTAAGTACCAAATT